GCAAACGACTCGACGGCACATAACAACAACAACAATATGATAAATTTTCAATCTGTTGGACAGACAAATCTTTAACAATACTTACCTTATCTGTGTGAGAAAGATTTTCAGATTAGCTGACATATGTAGCTATGCTTATTTCACGGCAAATAGCTGAGAAAGCTTTATCCCTTATAAAATTAATTCATTCTTCATGGTTTTAGACATGTTCAAGTACTTATCCTTTTCTGTGTCTTGCTATAAATATGTCAAACTGAGTAAACAGGTCAGGTAAATCTCACAAATTAACAATTTGTGGGAAATCAAGTACTTAATTTCTTCTTTGAAAAGAATGTTCACATACAGTGATTATTATAAGAACAATGCATTGCAAAACAGCTTGCTGATAGCAAGCAAAACAACTCGTTGACGTTCTTAGTGAGTTAGTGTTTCCGTTTTGTGAGTGAAACCAAAACTATGTCTTTGACTTAAGTATGACAACATACAATCGCTGTGAATTGAATTGTATTCGTGTTTTATCAGTTGTTTCAAGTTGCACCAATTACTAAATGCATCCACAGCAATTGATAATGAACTTATTCAGGACCTATTGGTTTTGGGTGGGGATTAAAAAGACAATATATGAGTGTTCAGTGGAGGAATTATCTTTTGACTCCTTACATTTTAAAAATAAAGTTAATTTTGGAATGGTCTTTGTTGATGTTGCTAGTGTCCATTGAATTTATTCCAACTCATAACAATTTTATGCATAACAGAAAGAAACACTGGGGAATTGTCTTTAGGAGCAAAGAGTTAGACTAAAAATTGACCTTTTTAGTCCTTACATTTAGCATCATCTGGTCTCCAACTACTTTAACTGCAGGCACATGGTCTTGCAAATCTCCAAATGCTATGGAACTAAGATAAGAGAAAGAGTGCTTCCCACACTGTGAAGCAAGTCTTGAGGTGAGCAAGATTTGAGGGAGGCTGAAGTGAGATCCTGGTGGTGGAGAGACTGGCATTGCTGTGGAGAAACTGTGGCAAGGTGTAAGCAGAAGAACCCTGAGATAAAGGCCACAGTGAAAGGTTTTTGCTGTGGTTGCCAAATGCTTGAAGGGAAAGCTGACTGACAACTGTTCTGATGCAAACCTTGCTGGATGAGTCGGATTTGACTGCTGAAGTGAAACCAGAGTCTCGACTCATTAGGAATTGTGCCTTGGA